TCTAACAGGCAGCGAGAAGGAAGGTGGGCACGCAGACCTGACGATGCCCTGTGTGGGCAAGCTGCTGCTCAGGCATATTTTTGGTGAAGCTGGCTCGGTGCTGATGCCAAGAGGGTTCATCATGTAGGGAGGGAACCAGAGATGCTGGGAGGGCTGGCAGCCAAGGACAGCTGGTGAGGGTAGCACTGGGTTTTCCACCAGCTGCCTGTTCTGAACAATACACCTTGGGTTTTAAAGTCCCCGGGGACTGCGCCCCTTTAACATGAGCCTCTTGTGTTTTCACCGTGTACCACCAACTGCATGCAAAGGTGAACAAGGCATGTTCTTTCTGCTCTAGGGAGCTCCAAGTTTCGAGGGGGTAGCAAGTGACAGAGCTGACAAGTATAACACAGTGTGATGCCCGTTATTGCAGGAGGGAAGGAAGGAGCTCCAAGAGCCCTGAGGATGGGTGTCTAACTGTTAAAGGCTGGATGGAGAGATGGCTTTCTGGATGGGAGCAGCAGCTAAGCCAACCCCTGAACAATAACAAGCATTTGCTTCATAGAGAGAGAGAGTTAGGGCTGTGCGCAGTGGCTTATGCCTGTAATCCCAGCACTTTGGGAGGCAGAGGCAGGCGGATCACTTTAAGGTCAGGAGTTCGAGACCAGCCTAGCCAACATAGTGAAACTCTGTATCTACTAAAAATACAAAAATTAGCCAGGCATGGTGGTGGGTGCCTGTAATCCCAGTTACTCGGGAGGATAAGGCAGGAGAGTCACTTGACCTAGAAGGCAGAGGTTTCAATGAGCTGAGATCACGCCATGGCACTCCAGGGCGAGGCTGCATCGCAAAAAAAAAAAAAAAAAAAAAAAAGACAGGGTCAAGAGGAAAGGTTTGAGATCCTACCCTGGGTGGAGAAAGGTTCCCATATGTAACCACCTAATTGTGCACATCAAACAAAAACAGTGCTCCAGACAGAGGAACAGCTTGTGCAAAGGCCTGACGGTGAGAAAATATATGGGCACTTCTTTTTCTACTCCTTGTTGGTTCCTAGAAGTTCAAGTGGCAGCGACACACAGTGAAAGCATGCTGGCAGTAAGAAAGCGGCTTTGGGGCCGGGCATGGTGGCTCATTCCTGTAATTCCAGCACTTTCAGGAGGCTGAAGTGGGAGAACTGCTTGAGGCCAGGAACTTGAGGCTAGCCTGGTCAATGTGGCAAGACCCCTGTCTCTGCAAAAAAATTGAAGATGAGCCGGTGTGGTGGCACACAGCTGTAGTTGTAGCTACTGGGAAGGCTGAAGCGGGAAGATCGCTGGAGCCCAGGAGTTCGAGGTTGTGGTGAGCTTAATCATGCCCCCCCGCACTCCAGCCCGGGTGACAGAGCAAGACCCTGTCTCAAAAAATAAAAATTTAAAAATTCAGTAGAAAAACGAAAGTAGACTGGGGAATCCTATGATCTCCAATTCCTTCATTTAGCAGCTGTGGGGCAGCAGGCAAGCTGGCTTACGTCTCTGAGCCTCAGTTTCCTCATCTGTAAAACGGCCCTAACACTGCCTTCCTGGAGGATTATTACTCTAGAGTGTCACGTGAAGAGCACCAGCATGGAGCCTGACGCACGGCAGGTGCTTGGGGAATTATGTTCATTATCGCTATCCTCAGCCTGATCTTCCGGTCCTTTCTGGGTGGTGTTCTCAGAAAGGGACCAAGCTGATTCCTCCCCAGGAAGCCAGGGGTCATCTTGGTCCTCAGGGAGGCCGGGAGAGTCAGCAGCCGTGCGGGCTCAGCCTGTCCTCTGGCCACCTTACCCTGAGGCTCTTCTCCCTTTTTCTCAGGGAAGATTCCCAAGGGAACAGCTTTGGAGGAAGGACCCTGCCTGACCCACTGGGTCTCTGGGAGCTGAGACCCATGCCAAGCCAAATAGCCTTGCATGCATACCTACACAACTTACTGCATCCACACGACGACGTCAGGATCCAGGTGAGGGTACTGAGGCTCAGAGAGATAAAATGACTCGCCCAGGGTCATGTAACTGGGAGGGGTGGGACCAAGACTTAACTCTCAGTATGGCTCGGAGTGACCACGACATACAAAACTGTTTCAAGCATGGTCAGTAACAAACACATACACGTGTTTAGTCTAACTACTTCCCGTGTATTAACTCACTTAATCCTTCTCAACAACTTCAAGGAAGGTACTATGACCATGCCCATTTTATAGTAGATGAAACTGAGGCTCAGAGAGCATAAGTGACGTGTCCAAGGTACCTGACAAGACCCCTGAAACCAGGCTCCTGCCACGGCCTAAGCCCTGGTGACAGCTGTGTCCTCATGTCCTGTATTCTCATTTACTGTTGCCAGCTCGTCCCTGCCACAGGGCCTCCACATTTGCTGTCCCCTCAGCCTGAGATGTCCTTTCCACTGATTTACCGACCCCTGGCTCCTCCTTACTTGGATTTCTGTTCCATTATCACCTCCTCAGGGAGGTCCTCCAGATCCACCCTAAAACTCCATTCTCATGCCACCCCGCTGTGCCTCATTCACAGTTTAACACCTATGGGGTGTTTAGTTTTTAACTGTGTGTCCGCCTCCAGGAACAGCGGCCTCTCTGGGCCATCTCTAAATCCCCAGCCCCTGGTCTATAAATATTTGCTAAGTGGGTAAAAGTGACCAGATTATGCAGTCCCTTTCAGAGGACTGAGGGCAACTTTCCACCAACCTAAAGTTCCACCTACCTAGTCTGGTCTAACCTCAGAACCTCCTCTCCCACCCTCTCCATCTCCCTTTGGGTTATGAAATCTGAGCTCGGGGCAACACGAAGGGAAGCCGCTGCAGCTACATCTAAGAAGGTTACAGAGCAGGAACACAGCATCTGTCATCCCAGTGGGAGGCTGGACCCAGGAAACTGACAAGACTCCCAGCATGCTCTGCAGCCCCTCCTCCCCATCAAACCCAGGCACAGGCAGAATTCCCGAGTGCCCTGTGGGCTGCCGGAGAGCCCACCCTTCCAGGGGGGATCCCCACCACAGAGAACACCCATCAACACCCATCCAGATCCAAAGCAGTGGGAGGCTGGAAGAGGGCACGTGAGAAATAATAAAACCAGGAGAGACCTAGGCAAGTAAGAACTAGAGGAATCCCTCCTTTCTCTCTCATAAATCTTCAGATTGAAGCGCATAAAACTTTTTATAAGTGAAATATTCAACATAGTTCAAAATGAACTTATAAAGAAGTTTACAGAGAAAAAGCTGTCTCTTCATCCCTTCCACTCCCCCCCAACCCCATAACCCACACCAAGTATCCATTTGTACTTTCTGGTGGATTCTTCCAGTCTGCAAATATAGCAATTACCAATGTATACTCTAAATTTCCCCCGTTTACATTTTCTATTTCTTTTTACTTTGCAGCTCCAGCTCAAAGGATCCTTTTTAAAAGAAAAAGAAAACGAAAAAAGGGTACCATATTAGATATGCCACCCGCCACACCTTTTACTTCCCTAGTTGGATATAATTCTACATTTCTACACAGGAGAGAGATACAGATATAGATGTGTAAGTGTGGGCATACACACGCAAGTTATTAATGGTTTTCTGCAATTCTCCTCCCATTCTCCAGGAAAGGGGTGTTTAGATTGGAGGTCAAGAGGGGTTGCTTTTCAGCTGACGCACAAACGGCAGGGCCACCCTCTCTTGGTGGTCAATATTAGACGCTGGTTCTCTGCACTTTAAGGAGGTGCCAGGAGCTAGCTCTTTCCCAAAATATCTGCAGCTCCCATTTCCTGAGCGTCCACCCGGTACTAGGAGAACTCTTTAACACATAGAAGGAAAGCTGAGAATCAGAGAGGTAAAGTGACTAGCCCAAGGTCACACAGCCAGGAAGTGGAGCTGGCAGGATTCACTGCCAGTCTGTCCCTCGCTAAAGCCGGTTTGCCCACACACCTGACCCCCTCCCACGGTCTCCAGTCCACACCCTGGTCCACAGCCGGTGGCAGAACCGGCCACGCCGAAGTCAGGGCCCAAGGCCAAGTCCCCAGCCCGGCTGAACTCGGGGGTACAAGCGCTTTCTCCGCCATTTCCCTGCGGGCAACTCGGCCCGGCCTCCCAGGGCGCCCCGCCCGCGCCGACGCGGGGCGCGCAACCTTTGCAGGTCCGGGGAGACCAGCGAACCCAGGGGAGGACGCCGGGCTCCGGGCAAAGTGCTCTGCGGCAGCTGCCTCGCTTAAGCCCTCCAGCCACCCGTGGGGGTGAGGCCATCTGAACCCATTTTACAGATGCCAGGACGAAGGCAGGCGCGGAGAACAGACTCTCCCGCCTAAGGTTACCCGGCTGGGGAGCGTCGGAGCCCGGCTTCCACTCGGGTCCGCCGACTTCAAAACTTTCCGCCCCTACGCTCGCGAATGCAAAAGATTCTCAGGTGCGGCGCGCGAGCCCCAGCCGGGCTGCCGGAGGCGCTCGCCCGCCCGGCCGGAGGCACCTGCCCTGCGTTTGGGAAGCCCGGGCCCTGCTCCCTCCCCGGTCCGCAGTCCCCCAGGCACGGAGTTCCCGGGCCAGTCCGAGGCTGAGCGGCTGCGGCACTGAGCTTCTCAGCGGAGCTCCTCGTCGCAGCCGGCGAAGTGGCAGGCGGGGACCCATTTGAAAGAGGAGGAGACTGAGGCGCAGAGAGGGCCCGCCACTGGCCCAAGGTCACACAGCGCGGCGGCGGGCCGGGACCCCAGCAGTGGCCGTTCGGAGGTCCTGTCCCGGTCCCCGCGCCGCCCCCGCGGGTACTCACAGCCGGTCTTGCCCTCGAGCTCCCGCACCTCCTCGGACGCGGAGTGGGCAGCGCCCATGGTGCCCGCGGCGGGGGCCCCGGGCGCGCGTCCCTCGCAGGCCCCGCGCCGGCCTCGGCTGCGCAGCGGCCGGACTGGCCTCGGGGCTGGCCTCGGGTCCGGCCTCGGGTCGGGACGCCGGGGAAGGCTCGGAGCCGCGGGTTCCGCGTGGGGCCGAAGCGCGGCCTTATATATAACGGCTAAGGGCGGCGCGCCGCGGTCCTAGCGCACGCCGGTTTCGCGCACTGCGCGGCTAGGGGAGCGCCCCGCCCCGGCCCGGAAACCGCCGGGAGGGGGACCCCGGAGCCCACCGCCTTGGGTTCTCAGTCAGTGCAGCAGCGGCCACGTGCCTCGCCCATTCCGCATCCCTGCTGGATTTGGAAGCAGGTGTGAGCAAAGTTGGGGGCGTGGGTAGGAGGAGTGGGACCCCTGGGGGTGCCATGCCCACCCCCAACCCATCCCTCCTCACATCCTCCAGACCTTAGGAGGAAAACTCCACTGAGACAGTCTAGGAGGTCAGAGAGCAGGAATTAGCTCTATGGAGAACAGCAGTAATAATAATCCTATCTGAAGGTGCACCATGCGCTTTGGTTTATTCCAGGGAAGCCCCAGCACCCTTCTGAGGTGAACACATCCACGTGGCGGCCCGTGTGGGCCCTGCACAGCCCGGTGGCTGAAGGGCACCTCAAACTGCAGGAGCAGGCTGGGCGCAGTGGGTGACTCACGCCTGTAATCCCAGGACTTTGGGAGGCCAAGCCAGTAGGATCACTTGAGCTCAGGAGTTCAAGACCAGCCTGGCCAACATGGTGAAACCCAGTCTCTACTAAAAACTCAAAAATTAATCCAGCGAGGTGCCACATGCCTGTAATCCCAGCTACTCCCGAGGCTGAGGCAAAAGAATCGCTTGCACCTGGGAGGTGGAGGTTGCGGTGAGCTGCGATCTCGCCACTGCACTCCAGCCTGGGCAACAGAGCAAGACTGTCTCTCACCATCACCAAAAACAACAACAGCAACAACAACTGCAGAAGCGGGCCCAGGAGGCTGCATTTGGGGCAAACTGTGGGAGAGAAGGCGATGCCAGTGGTCCCCATGCCCGCTAGGGAAGTCCTGGGTTAAGAAGGCTTAAGGGGCTGGCTCTCCATCCAGGTCGGGTGACCGGGGCCAATACTGTTGCCTGTCTAACATGATTCCTCCTCCTTAAAATAAGGATAAGTTAATAAGAGGTCCACCAAAGGGCCTGGCATGGACACAGCACAAGGTCACAGAGGCTGGTGGGTGCTATGGAATCTTGTCCGCTGGAGAGGCACACAGCCAGGGCAGAACGTCAGGGTCAAGGCTCTGCTGTTCTGAAGGCTCTACAGTGCTTAGTGACACCACCGTCAATGACCGTCAGGTATCAGGTCTGTTCTGAACACTAGGCTCAATGATAAATGTTGGGGGGGAAGGGAGACAGGGTAGCGGCAGGAGTTTTTCAGTGCCCACGGAGGGGACTTGCGTGGACCCACCTTCATCAGTTTCACAGGCTGCTGAGAAGGGAGCTGCTGAGAACTGCTGTTCATTCCTGCAGACTGCAGGCTCAAGCCAAGGGTCCCAGCCCTTTCCAGGGGTAGGGGCTGACTTTCAGAGCCACGAGGTAGAGGGTGGGGGTTGGTCCTAAAACCTCCTAGAGCAGCAGAATCAGTCCCTTCCTGGCTGCAAATCCAGCTCTGGCCAGGTGCAGTGGCTCATGTCTGTAATCTCACCACTTTGGGAGGCTGAGGCAGGAGGATCGAGCCCAGGAGTTTGAGACCAGCCTGGGCAACATAGCAAGACCCCATCTTTACCAAAACTTAAAACTTTTAAAAAATAAGCTGGTCACAATAATGTGCACCTGAAGTCCCAGCTACTTGGGAGGCTGAGGCAGGAGGATCGCTTGAGCCCAGGAGTTAGAGGCTGCAGTGAGCTATCATTGCACCATTGCACTCCAACCCAGGCAACAGAGAAAGACCCTGTCTCTAAAACAAAAAGAAAATCCAGCTTCCTCTTACACTGCCTGTCTGCACTCATAGAGCTAAGGCAGCACCTGCAATCTGCACTTTAAAGCACTCTCCAGAGAGCAGTGCAAGACCCGATCAAGGTGGACTGGTCTGAGCCGGCTGGACAGCTGACCTAGGGACTCCATTTTGGGTTAGAAGGATTCTGGAAACATAGGAAGGCCTCTGCGATCAGGAAAAGGATCCTCAATACCCCTGGGAGTTCTGAGCCGCTGAGCCAACCAATTACATACAGCTGCTAGGAGCAATTTTATTCCAACTTAAAATGTCTGTTCCTGGAATTTTGTTATATTAAACTAGTCAAGAATTAAATGATGGAGCTGTCTGCTGGGGGGATAGGAAGTGGCATTCTCTGGACATCAGCCTTTCCTGCTTGGCACAGTTGCTCCCAGAGTTGGAGATAGTAGGGGTGGGGACAAAAACCCAGGGGCAAGGAGTGGGGCACATGGCTTCACTCTGCCTCTTGGGTAATCTCAAGGAAGCCAGTGGTATCTGTCCTACTGGGTCACCTGTCTACCCTGACTGACCCAGTGGCCACTCTTAGCTCTTAGTCAAGCTCTTGCACAATAACATTGTGAGGGTTAAATGCAGATTCATATATGTAAGGTGATTCATCATATATGTAAGGTGATTATGAAGGTTAAATGCAGATTCATATATGTAACGTTGTGAGGGTTAAATGCAGATTCATATACGGAAGGTGCTTAAAACTGTTCCTTTTGCCTGAAACTCCCTTCCACTTCCTCTTCCGACCTCAGTGGAAACTCACATCCTCAGGGAGGCCTTCTCAGAGTCCTCATCCCTTCTCCTGTGTCCACAGCCAAACAAGCCACCATTGCCAGCCAGCAGGGAGCTGGGAGGGAGGAAGTCTTGGGTAGGATGACAGAGAAGGATTTATTCCTAATCGCAGGGCTTGGAGAAGTAATCAGGAGATCCCTGGAGCAGCAGGTAGGAGGAAAAAACCAAGGCACAATTTATGCATTTGTTCAATCATTTATTCATTGCACGTTTATTAAGCACCTACTATGTTCAGGGCTTTGGCTGGGTCCTGGAGCCACAGCCAGGAATAAGATGCCACCTTCGCTCCTGAGGAACTCCTGGTGGGGGGAGGAGACAGACACACGGGCAGTGACAAGGCAGATGGGTAAACAAGGGCTGACGTGATGGAGCCCACAGAGATACGGAATGTTCAATCCGGAATGAGGCCCTGAGAGGCTGTGTTGTCTCAAGAGCTGAGCTTCAGGAAGTCCAGGACTGTCCCCAATTGTGCTCCTAAAGGGACATGGCAAAGCCAAATTCTGGGTGGACAGATGTCTCCATGTGGGCCCCTGCGGTGGCACCTACCATCTGCCTGGGCTTTGCCCTCGCCTGCCAATGCTGCACACACCAGCAGGGCGCCCTCCACACAAAGCCAGTCGCTGCCTGTTCTAGGACGTCATGGCTTTCATTCAAACCTACCAATGGCTCTGCAGGCGTCAATGGAGCAAGAAGCAAGAATGAGGTCTGCAGCTTTGTATGGATTTGTTGTCTAGAGCCCCGGAAGAGGGGCACCCTGTAGGGGGTGAGCTTTATCCCCCCCATATCACAGCATGGCTTTTGGAGGACTGAGAGACACTTTAGTCACCAGGCAACTGCATCTTTTCTCCCAGAGGACCTCCTCCGGGAGAAGCTGATTAAAAATAGTGGCCACAATTCATACACTTGGTCCCTGTGAAGCCACAAAGAGCAGCTGAGCCCAGAGATGGCCAGGACGGTCTTCAGTTGGCCTTCCCACCTTTCTGTCACAGAGGGCTATGGAACCATACTTGGGCAAGTTAACCTCTCTCATCCTCAGTTTCCCCAACTGTAAAGTGGCGATAACATTGTGAGGGTTAAATGCAGATTCATACATGTAAGGTGATTCATATATGTAAGGTGATTATGAAGGTTAAATGCAGATTCGTATATGTAACGTTGTGAGGGTTAAATGCAGATTCATATACGGAAGGTGCTTAAAACTGCCTGACATAGTAAGTGCTAGCCAGTGGTGAGCTGGTCAACAAGTTCTCTGAAAAGGGCAGGAGGGGAGGAAGTCCTAATCTGTAGCAGTTGCCAATCTCTTGTGTAGATATTCCTACCATAGTCAATTTCAAGTTACTGACAATTTAATAATAGGCTTGCAGAATCCCTGAATTTTGTTTTTATAGATACGGAGTCTCACTATGTTGCTCAGGCTAGTATCAAACTCCTGGGCTCAGAGGAGCCTCCTGCCTCAGCTTTCCAAGTAGCTACAAATACAGGTGTTCACCATCATGCCCAGCTTCAAAATCCCTAAATATTGAACCATTTGCTCTCGAAAGCACTCAAGTCTAGGAAACTATTGGCCGGGCGCGGTGGCTCACGCCTGTAATCCCAGCACTTTGGGAGGCCGAGGCGGGTGGATCACAAGGTCAAGAGATCGAGACCATCCTGGTCAACGCGGTGAAACCCCGTCTCTACTAAAACTACAAAAAATTAGCTGGGCATGGTGGCACGTGCCTGTAATCCCAGCTACTCAGGAGGCTGAGGCAGGAGAATTGCCTGAACCCAGGAGGCGGAGGTTGCGGTGAGCCGAGATCGCGCCATTGCACTCCAGCCTGGGTAACAAGAGCGAAACTCCATCTCAAAAAAAAAAAAAAAAAAAGTCTAGGAAACTACTACCCAGTTGACTGTGATATGTGCATTTGTGTATGCGTTCATGCATTCACTGTTGTGTGCCAGAAGTTTGGACACTACAGTGAAAGAGAGAGTCCCTGACCTCAGGAATCTCAAAGTATGCAAGGAAAGAGATGTGAACAGACTATCATGGTATGCTAGCTGGTACCAATGACTGCAGGGGCCTGGAGGAGAGGCACCCAGCACATCCCCATTTTATTGGTAGGAAAACCAAGGTGTTCCCAAAGGATTGTAAACCAGAATCAGAAAGTAGACTTGAAGATGTCTGAAGAGCAGTTTCTGTAATTCACCTGCCCCTTCTAATGGTTTAGTTTGGGGCAACTCCCAAGGCATGGTAATGTTCTAGGAGTAACAAGACATTTTTCTTAACATTTGGGCCACTGACCAAGAGATTTATGGGGACTTCAAGTACCATTGAAACCACATTTGCAAAAATTGTAACAGAAAGTTATGACTCTGAGAGAGATCTGATCTAACCAACCGTCATCCTGCCTCTAACCTCCAAAATGCCCTTGGTCATTCCTGGACTTGAGCCAAGCTAACTTTGGGAGAAATTTAATTTATAGTTTATTTTATTTATTTATTATTTATTATTTTTTGAGATGGAGTTTCACTCTTGTTGCCCAGGCTGGAGTGCAATGGCATGATCTCTGCTCACCGAAACCTCCACCTCCCAGGTTTAAGTAATTCTCCTGCCTCAGCCTTCCAAGTAGCTGGGATTACAGGCATGAGCCAGCACACCTGGCTAATTTTGCATTTTTAGTAGAGACTAGGTTTCTCCATGTTGGTCAGGCTGGTCTCGGACTCCCAACCTCAGGTGATCCGCCCGCCTCGGCCTCCCAAAGTGCTGGGATTACAGGTGTGAGCCACCATGCCCAGCTAATTTATAGTTTTAATGATAATAGCCCTTCCCCAAAATAAAACTGCCTTCACAAAACTAATGAAAGGCTACGAAGTGGTCGGGCACACAGGCTCATGCTTGTAATCCCACCACTTTGAGAGGCTGAGGTGGAAAACTGCTTAAGCCCAGGAGTTCAAGACTAGTCTGGACAACATAGTGAGACCCTGCCTCTACCAAAAAAA